AAGAACAGGCATATGGACTGATGGAATGAGCAGAGACCCCAGAAATTGACCCACACCATTATGGTCAATTAATATTTGATAAAGGAGGCAAGAACATACAATACAGTAATGAAAGTCTCTTCAATAAATGGTGTTAGGAAAATTGGACAGGTATATGCAAAAAATGAATCTAGATTACCAACTTACACCATACACAAGAATAAATTCAAAATGGATAAAAGACTTAAATGTAAGTCACAAAACCATAAAAATCCTAGAAGAAAACAAAGGCAGCAAAATCTCAGACATCTCATGTAACAGTATTTTCACTGATACATCCTCTTGGGACAAGAGAAACAAAGAAAAAAATAAACAAATTGGACTACATCAAACTAAAAAGCTTCTGCACAGCAAAAGAAACCATCATCAAAATGAAAAGGGAACCCAGTATATGGGAGAGCATATTTGCCAATGATACATATGATAAAAGGTTAATATCCAAAATATATAAAAAACTCATACAACTCAACAAAAAGAAGACAAATAACCCTGCTAAAACTTAGGCAGTGGACCTGAATAGACATTTCTTCAAAGAAGACATACAGATGGTCAATAGAAGTATAAAACAATGCTCAACATCAGTAATTATCAGAGAGATGCAAATTAAAATTACAACGAGGTGTTACCTCACACCTGTCAGAATGCCCACCATCAATAAATAAACAAGTGCTGGTGAGGATGTGGAGAAAAGGGAACCTTAGTACACACTGCTTGTAGGAATGCAGACTGATGCAGCCACTACGGAAAACAGTATGGAATTTACTAAAAAAATTAAAAATGGAACTGCCATTTGATCCAGGGATCCACGTCTAGGAATATATCCCAAGAATCCCCTGACATCAATCAGAAAGAATATATGCACCCCTATGTTCATAGCAGCCTTATTTACAATAGCTAATATCTAGAAGCAGCCCAAGTGCCCCTCAGTAGATGAGTGGATAAAACAGCTGTGGTACATTTACACAACGGAATACTATGCAGCTGTAAAAAAGAAGGCTCTCTTACCCTTTGTGACAGAATGGATGGACTTGGAGAATATTATGCTAAGTGAAGTAAGCCACTAAGGGGAAGACAAATATCACATGATCTCACTTATATGTGGAATCTAATGAACATAATAAACTGACAAACAAAATAGGTCCAGAGGCATGGATGCATGACACAGACTGACATATCTCAGAGGGGATGTGGGTGGGGAAACATGAAGAGATTAACTGAAGAACTTATATACATTTGTGCATAACCCATGGACACAGACCATAGTGTGGTGAAGGCCTGGGGTGAGGCAGAGGCTGGGTGGAGGGGGGAAAATTGGGAGATAATGTGGCACATCTGTAATACTGTCAACAATAAAAAAAAGAGAAATGGGACTACATCAAACTAAAAAGTTTTTGCACAGCAAAAGAAACCATCAACAAAATAAAAAGACAACTCACTAAATGGGAGAACATATTTGCTGATCCATCTGATAAGGGTTTAATATCCAAAATTTATAAAGAACTTATAAAATCAACACCAAAACAAACAAACATGCCCCCCCCCAAACAGATCCAAGTGAAAGATGGGCAAAGGACCTGAATAGACACTTCTCCAAAGAGGACATACAGATGGTCAACAGACATATGAAAAGATACTCAGTGTCACTAATCATTAGAGAAATGCAGATTAAGACTACAATGAGATATCACCTCACACCTATCAGGATGGCTACCATCAATAAATCAACAAACAACAAGTGTTGGTGAAGATGTGGAAAAGGGAAACCCTTGTGCTCTGTTGGTGGGTATGCAGATTGGTGTAACCACTGTGGAAAGTAATATGGAGATACCTTAAAAAATTAAAACTAGAATTGCCTTGTGACCCAGCAATTCTACTTTTGGAAATTTATCTGAAGAAACATGAAACACTAATTTGAAAGAATATATGCACCCATATGTTCATTGCGGCATTATTTACAATAGCCACGATTTAGAAGCGGCCCAAGTGTCCATCAGTAGATGAATGGATAAAACAGGTACGGTACATTTACACAATAGAATACTATTTGTCTGTAAAATAGAAGAAAATGTTACCCTTTGCGACAGTATGAATAGACCTGGAGAACATTATGTTAAGCAGAATAAGCCAGTCAGAGAAAGAAAACTACCATATGATTTCATTCATGTAGAATCTAATGAACAATCTGAACAAACAAGCAAAGTAGAGACAGACTGAAAGACAGACAGCAGGCTGACAGCTTTCGAGGGGGTGTGTTCTGGGGGTGTGGCATTCTCACTAAAAGGTCTAAATCAGAACAAGTGACAATGTTGGCAAAAATGTGGAGAAATTGGAATGTATACATTATGGTTGGAATGTAAAATGGTGCTGCTATTTAGAAAATGTTTTGATATTTCCACAAAAATAGTTACCATATAACTCTGATACTTAATACCATTAATTAATTAAATTAATGCAAATTAAACCTTTCTTGGTTACCACTATGTCTCCCCTCATGTAGCTAGACTTCAGAAGAGTTTCAATTCCAATTGTTGGCGAGAATAAGGAGCAACTGCTACTTGCATGTATTGCTTACAGGCAGTAATTGGTACAACCACCTTGCAATACACTTTGGCATATACTAATATTAATAATATGTAAAGCCTATGACCTAGAAATTTTACTCTTTGATGTGTATATATTCAGAAATTTATGTTCTTATGTCAACCAAAAGATAGAAATAAAAATTTTTATAGCCCTGGCTGGTGTGTACTGAGAGGTGGCTGGTTTGATTCCCGGTTAGGGCACATATCCATGTTGCCAGGCTGATCCTCTGCAGGGGGCGTGCAGGGGGCAACTAATTGATATTCTGCTCTCATATTGATGTTTCTCCCCCCCCTTCCCTTCCTCTCTCTCTAATAATCAATAAAAATATTTTCAAAAATAATGTTTATGGCAGCATTCTTTAAAGAATCATCAATCTAGAGATCATACAAATGTCCGTCAATAGTAAATTTGATAACTAATTTGTGTTATGGTAATAAAATGGAATACTAAGAAATATTTATCTATGGTGATAGAGGTCAAAATTCTAGTTACCTTGTTGGAAAGTATTGACCAGGGGCCTGCTGGGATACTGGAAATATTTTATATCTTGATCTGGGTTGTGGTTAAACATCCAGATGTGTGTTTATGTTTGTGTGCGTGTCACACTTAAATATTTTTTGAGCTGCGCATGTATTTGTATATTTTACTATATGAATTATATAATAGTAATACAAAAGTGAGAATAGATTATGTTTCTGTTTCATTTTGGAAACATAAACACAGGATATCTAATCTAGACACTTACGTAAACCTAACTTCTTAAGAGAGAACAGGGTTGCAAAGCTAGGGGAGAAGCTGGAACTTCCATAGGTATATATTTTCATGTAGTTTTAATTTTTGAATCACATTAATGTCTTAAATATTAAGATAATAAAATTATATCAATAAGGATAGAAACATAAATTTTATGAGATGGTAGCAGAAACAGATGTTGACAAGTAATTTCATATTTTTCTCTACAATTACTGGTCTGCCTTGGAGTTAGGTTGAAGTTATATGATTAGTAGTTGGCTAAAAAGCTTTAAAAAGAAGGCTTTGAGCTGAAAAAGAAGAGTTGACTTTACCCCTCCATGTATTATCTTCCCTTGCTTAGAGAATCATGGATGATCACATCCTGAGACCATGGAACCGACCACAACATGTAATTCTTCGTAGATCTCTAAGTGACCACATAGAGCACAACTACCCTGAGGAATTATGAAACTTGTACGGGAGTTTTTGAGAATGAGAACGAGACTGTTTTGATTTGGGGACGTGTTTGTTGTCTCAGCACAGCCTAGCAAATTATGACCGGTAGAGATGTAAAACCGAGGTGACTTGTTGGGAGTGAAGAGGATGGTGGTTACGTTAGGGGAACTGGGGGGAGTGAGATAAAGGTTTTCAATACTCTTCAGAATGAGAATGAGAACATCTATAGACGATTAGAGCCAGAAGAAAATAGGAGCAATTATTCTATTCTTTTCATTTTGAAGACAAAGAAACTATGACCAGAGCAACTAATCATCAGTCTTAACCCAATCACTGGGTTGAAGTCACATAACAAGTTCGTGGTAGAGACAGGATTGCAACCCCGGTTTCTGAGACTTTGAGAACAATCTCAGAGTTAGGCTACAACTAGTTTTGAGAGCAGCTAAACATTTGCTTAGTGTTCTTTAGCATATTCTAAATGTCCTTCAGTTTCCTGGTGAAGGTTTCTGATGGAAATAGCACCTTTCTGAGCCCCTATCAATTTTCTTGCCCACAAATTAATCTAAAGTCACATCACGGTCCCCTTTTCATTCCCGCGTTACTAGGTCCCTCCACCGAGGCCGTCCGCCATCCATGGGTGACTTGAGGTAATCAGGAAATGTCTTTTACAAGAAATGGCATTTTCACTTTTTACTCTATACATTTTATTGTTTGTATTATTTTTTATCCTCTCTATATAAGAATAAGAATAAAAAATACCAGCAGCATTGTGTCAATGAATATCTAGATGGCCCAGGCCATTGTGTTACACATTTATTCTTTTGATTCATAAGCTCTTTCTGCTTCAGCATTGTCAAGACTGGGTGACCAGTTATAAACCCCCATTCCTCAATCTCGATCTATTATTGGTAACTTCCCCCTTGTGTCTTTCTTGGGCTATATCTTAGCCTTACCTCCCCTCCCCCGACCTCCCCATTTCTGAGCTAGGGCCCCATTGAAGTGGATTACTTTCTGATTTCTCTTTTTCATCTTCACGCTCACCCTGGAGAATAAAGGAGGCCATTGTCACATCATCACTGGGTAGCCAATCAGGTGGACGCCTCCCTCCAGTGACCTCCTTGTTCCAGAGGAAGTAAGGCTGCTTCAATGGAAGGAGGGAGCCAAGAAGAAGGCCTGGCATAAGTCCAAAGATGATAATTACAACATGGATTGTGTACATTCTCACCCGGAAAGGTGTAGGGTTCCCCTTCCCACCAAAAACCAGTTCGGTAAGTGCAGCTGGTGGTAGCCATGCCGAGCTGTTTCTCAGGTGTCTTCTCCCTTCCGAGCCCACTGCTGCGCTTCTGGAGAGCAGCTCTTACAACGTGTACCTCTGGACAAGAATGGCGGGGCCCGGGGCTCCAGGTGTTTGGGGGCATCACCTTATCAATTTGTTGCAGAACGTTGAAGTTGTGGAAAGTGAAGCCGTGTCTGTAGTACAGCACTGGTTGAAAAAAGTGAGTAAAATCCCATTGAGATTCAGGGTCCCTCAAATTCCAGAGAGCGGGCCTCAGCGGATGCAGCAATCTGGACTTCCTCCTCCCTAGAACGGGAAACTCAACATCCTAGAGCTGTGTCTAACACACCTGATGTCCTAGACTCTAGGACCTGGAGGGTGCTGGGGCTTGTGTCTTCATAATAGATGCGTGGGAATCACCATGAACCCTTCCCCGCTTCTCAAGCATAGTAGATGCAGGGTCTCAGATGTGTTGCCCCAGCCTCGGGGTGTCTCAGGAGTACCTTGGGATAAGTCCAAGGACCTGGAAGTTCCCACAGGAAAGCAGCGACAGGTGGAACTGTGAGGTACAGAGCTTGTATGTGTGGATGTGTGTTGTGATGGAAAGAAGAAAAGGGAAGAGGAAAAAGAGAGAGAACTGGGGGTCAGATACCAAGGGATGCTTTGAGAGGGAAATTACCCGCCTTTCAGACTGAAGAAGAGGCTTCCCAGAACATAAAGGAGAAGATGACCAGCCCTCTCATCCAAGGCCAGGATGTACATGTGACCAGAGACATGGTAAATGAGTTTGAGACAGTCATCCTGGGGAAGTGGAGAGAGGGAGGGGGAGGGCAGGAGGTCCTGCAGCAAAGGATCCTGGACAAGTGGGCGGAGCTTGTCCAGGCTGGGCTCCAGCCTAGCCATGGAGTCCTTGCTGGGCAATGATCATGTGGACCCTACCCCAATTTCCTAGGCGAAGCACCGTCTCTCCAAGTCTGATTTGCTAGTAAGCCCGAGTCAGGAGGTCCTGGAGGAAAGGACAAGAATCCAGTTCATAAGATGGAGGTAAAGCAAATATCATTTGCTCTGAGCCTAGTTGTCGGGAGGGAGAAGCAAAGAAGGCATCAGCTCTCTGGCTCCCACAAACCCACAGCCATTCTTCTCTGGAGATCTTGACTCCTTTGGCTGAGAAAATTTGCAGCCTTACTTTGGGATCTTAAGGGAATAGTTTAACTGTCTTGAAAGCCCAGCTCATTCCTAAGTTTTAAATGATTTTAGGGGTTGGAAATTGAGATTGCTCACCATTTCCTAAATGCTTCTGAATAAATTTCAGACTTCTGTTATTTTTGCAGTTGATTTGTTCAGAAGTGGCTGCACTTTAAAGAGCTAAAAGAAAATGAGCTCTTAAAATGCAAAAGCCAAAGAAAGCCCTCATCAGCAACTGCCGGGAGAGGTTTCCAGGCGCCGAGGCTAGAATTATGTGCTCCACATTCTGGTAGCTCTGCCAGCACCCCACTGTGCCAGTGGGAACACAGGCCTTCCCTATCCTGGCACTGAGGGTGCTAACTCAAGGCGGAGAGAGCTGGGCCTGGATACCAGCTCACTCCCTTGGCATAAGCTTTCGTATTTCCTTTCTGGGACTTGTGCTCACTTGGGGGTCTCTTTTTCCCAGTAGAAGAACCCTGGGATTAAACTGCAAAAGAGTCCTCTCTCATCTCTGTTTGCTTGTCTTCCCTTTCAACCCCCCACTGCCAGCTTTGCTGTCTTCTATCAAAGAGGATATATTGCTCAAGACATTTATTTTTGCTTCAGGATATCCAATTCTTAGGTGTTTATTCCTGCCAGTGGCATTAGCATTTTAAATGGGGATTCAACTACTCATTGATTCTAGAACAGGAGAGGAATTTGAGACCTCACTGGGAGAGATGTTTTGGATGGAAAACCTTCCAATGGTCCCTAAAATCATAAATGTTGGTGACTGTAATCCAGCCACAGCCTGTACGTGGGAGGCTGTCTGTGCCTGGCGTGCCTGCACCGTGGAACCCTAAATGTGCGATGCCTCGGCTCGGGTAACATGATCATCACCTCCACTATTTTTTAAAACCTTAGCTGTGTGGCATGATTAGGATAAAGCTTTGAAGACAGGCTACAGGAATCACAATCGTCTATATATAATTTTTCCATTCCGGATTTCTATGGAGATTTTAAACCATAAACTCTGTCAGTTCCCCCTACAATCCATCTATTAGCATCAGTAAGTGTGTAGTTAGGTCATGCTGATCCCTAAATGAAGCATCAAAGATACTCACTTATTTACAGATGTGTTCCAACCACCTGATATTTGCCAGGCCCTCTGGAAGAGAGAGAAAAGGGTAATCAGAGTCCCCAGTCTCAAAGGGGTGAAAGTTAACTTGGCGGACAAGGTGTGAGAACGTTGGAGAACGAGGCCTGAGGGATATCTGTGAGAGCATAGGTGGGGACCGGGGTAGCAGTCCCAGGCTGGCTGCCAGGTATGTAGGCAAGGTGTCCAGCAGGACACTTGTTTGGCTAATGAACTGGGCAGAACCTAGGTGAACAGGAGCTGCGGTGGGCCTCCCGCAGATGCAAGAGCCGTGGTAACTCAGCCAATCTGCTCGGCCTTCAGGGCCCTGTCCTGTGGCTCCTCCTTCTCTGAGGTCTCCCTTTCCCCCTGGCGGGGGCACTCTCCCTGCCATCTGGAATCCCTTCTTCTTTCTTCTCCATCTGTGGCACCGACCCCGCTCCTCCTGGTGTGAGCAGTATTCATGGGCGCAGCTCTCCCCAGACAGTATTGATTCTGTCCTCACATTAGAAGCTACAAATAACACACCTAGAACAAGGCTTGGTCCAGAGAAGGCAGTTTCAATAGTCACAGACATGGGGGATGCAGTGGGCAGGCTGATTTCACCAGAGTGGAGGGCTTGTGAAGAGGGGGAGATATGGAGTTGGGAAGGACAGGAAGGGGACCGTGGAGAGGAAGACAAATCCAGCAGGGTCAATAAAAACAACTGTAGCAACAAGGTACCTGTAGATTCTTTGTGACAGAAATTTCTAGAAGTATCTCTAAACTATAGTGAATACGGCACAGTGCAGATCATAAAGATCTGGTAACGAAGCTGGAGAGTAACTCAGAGAGGGTGGATACATGCCTTCCAAGACCATTGGCCTGCTGTCTAATTCCAGCAAAGGCCCTTAAACTGTTTCCTCAATACTCCTTGGAACCATTTACAGTTTCCCGTGGTTGTTTGGTGGCTCAGGGCAAATTTGTTGGTAAAAAGAACCCGTTGAGTTCCTGGTCCTAGAAGGGTCGAGGACCAGCTCAAAAGTTCATGGTGATGGGGACAAAACTAATCGTCTACACGACTGCAACACCAGCAGTTTCACAATGCCCAGGGAAGGCCTGGAAACATCCCAGGCTTTGAACGCTGTGTTGCAGCCATACCCGTATCTTTCAAGTGCCAAGTGAGGTGAGAGACGATGTTATGCGCGATAGAATAGAGCAGGTGAGACGAAGGTAAGCTGCTGGGACAAGTTGGTTTGTGTTCCCAGTTTGGGACTGGTGGGTGGGGCGGGCTGCTGGCCCCTTCTGGGCCTAGCTCCAGCTGCAACTTAGGTCTGCTAAGCCTGAAGCCCTTCTGGGCTGAGTGCCTCTTTGTAAGAGTCTGCTCCGAGGTCTAGATGGGGTGATGGCCCAGGTGTGGGCTGCCTGCCCCACACTCTCCGGGGCTGTGGGCTGGGTATGTTCTCTGGGTGGGCTCTGCCATCTTGCAGTCTCCCTTCTGCCTTGCCCTTCTCCTCTGTGCCCACAGCTTATGCCATCTTAGCAATGCATCATCTCAGGAGCTTCATGACAGAAATTCCTACTCAGACTGCTGAGAGCAACAGGTGAGAGAGCTGACAGGTGAGGAGCCAGGCAGAGAAGATGGCTCCGCTGGGCAGGGAGACAGGGTCTGGGGCAGGGGCTTGATGATCAGATTCAGCCTTTCCCCATTGGTGAGGGCTAGCACTTGGAGCCAATGACGGTGGGGAAGAAGGCAGCTGCCTTAGGCTCCTGCAGTGCCTCTCTTAAATTTCTTTAAAAAAAATTAAATCTATTGGGGTGACATTGGTTAATAGAATCATATAGGTTTCACGTGTACATTTCTATGATACAAGATGTGTATAGTACACTGTGCCCACCACCCAACGTCAAACCGTCTTCCATTACCATATATTAGGCCCCCTCCACCCCCTCTCGCCCCCTACTTCTTCCCTCTGGCAACCACCACACTGCTGCCTGTGTCTACAAGTTTCAGTTTTACATCCCACGTATGAGTGAAATCATATTGTTCTTAGCTATTTCTGCCTGACTTATTTCGCTTAGCATAATATTCTCAAGGTCCATCCATGTTGTTGCAAATGGCAGTATTTCATCTTTTCTTATGGCTGAGTAGTGTTCCATTGTGTCTATGTACCACACCTTCTTTATCCAATCATCTATCACAGGACACTTTGGTTGTCTCCACATCTTGGCCACCGTGAGTAATGCTGCAATGAACATAGGGGTGCATATGTCTTTGCAAATACATGGTTTCAAGTACATACCCACAAGAAGGATTGCTGGATCATATGGTAGCCGGTTTCTTAATTTTTTGAGGAACTGTAAGACTGTTTTCCATAGTGGCTGTACCAGTCTACATCCCCACCAGCAGTGAATGAGGGTTCCCTGTTCTCCACAACCTCTCCAACACTTGTTATTGCTTATCTTGTTGATAATAAGCATTCTAACAGGTGCGGTGGTATCTCATTATAGTTTTGATTTGCATTTTCCTAATAGCTAGTAAAGCTGAACATCTCTTCACATCTCTGTTGGCCATTTGTACGTCGTCTTGGGAGAGGTGTCTGTTTAGGTCTTCTGCCTATTTTTTAAATTAGATTGTTTGGTGTTGAGTTGTATGAATTCTTTATATATTTTGGATATTAAGCCTTTGTTAGAGCTGTTGTTTGCAAATCCCATCTCTCATTCGATTGGTTGCCTTTTGGTTTTGTTGTTGGTTTCTTTTGCTGTGCAGAAGCTTTTTAGTTTGATATAGTCCCATTCATTTATTTTTGCTTTTCTTTCCTTGCCTTTGGGGTCAAATTCATAAAATATTCTCAACAATCAAGGTCCATAAGTTTAGTACCTGTTTTCTTCTATGTAATTTATTGCTTCAGATCTTATATTTAGGACTTTGATTAATTTTCAATTAATTTTTGTATATGGGGACAAACTGTAATCTAGTTTCATTCTTTCTAATTTTCCCAGCACCAGTTATTGAAGAGGTTTTCTTTTCTCGATGGTGTGTTTCTGGCTCCTCTATTGAAAATTATCTGCCTATATACATGTGGTTTTATTTTTGGGCTCTCAGTTTTATTTCATTGATCCGTGTGTCTATTTTTCTGCCAATACTGTGCTGTTTTGATTATCCTAGCTCTGTAGTATAATTTGAAGTCAGCTAGTGTGATACCTCTGGCTTCGTTTTCTCAGCATTGCTTTGGCTATTTGGGGTCTTTTGTGATTCCATACAAATAGGATGATTTTTTTTGTTCTATTTCTTTAAAAAATGACATTGGGATTTTTGATAGGGATTGCATAAAATCTGCTTATTGCTTTGGGTAATATGGCCATTTTAACTATGTTGATTCTTTCAATCCATGAACATGAAATATCTTTACATTTTATTGTGTCTTTTTCAATCTCTTTGAATAATGCTTTGTAGTTTTCAGTATACAGGTCTTTCACATCCTATATGAAATTTATTTCTAGGTATTTTATTCTTTTGGTTGTAGTTGCTAAAGGAATTGTTTTTTTTCTTTCTTTCTTTTTCTTAGGTTTCATTGTTAGTATACAAACAGTGAATTTTTGTACATTGGTTTTTGTATCCTGCAACTTTACTGTATTTGTTTGCTGTTTCAAATAGTTTTTTGGTGGAGTCTTTAGGGTTTTCTATGTACAAAATCTTGTCATCTGCAAAAAGTGACACTTTTACTTCTTTCTTCCCAATTTGGATGCCTTTTATTTCTTTCTCTTGCCTATTGCTCTGGTTAGGACTTCCAGAACTATGTTGAGTAAGAGTGGTGAGAAGGGGCATCCTTGTTTTGTTCCTGATTTTAGAGGAAAAGCTTTAGTTTTTCACCATTGAGTATGATATTGGGTGAGGGTTTGACATATATGGCCTATATTATGTTGAGGTACTTTCCTTCTATACTTATTTTATTGAATGTTTTAATCATAAATAAATATTATATCTTATCAGATGCTTTTCCTGCATCTATTGATAAGATTATATTATTTTTATCCTTTCTTTTGTTAATGTGGTGTATTAAATTGATCAATTTGCATATGTTGAACCATCCTCGAGCCCTGGGAGTAAACCCACCCAATTGTGATGCATTTTTTTTAATGGATTGTTGTATTCAATTTGCTAGTATTTTTTTAAAAGGATTTTTGCATCTGTATTTATCAGAGATATTGGTCTGTAATTTTCTTTTTTTTGTGCTATTTTGCCAGCTTTTGGTATAAAGATTATGTTGGCTTCATAAAATGTGTTAGGAAGAGAAGGATAGTTTTCAAATCTTCTTTGAATGTTTGGTAGAATTCACTGGTGAAGCCATCTGGTCCTGGGCTTTTATTTTTTGGGAGGTTTTTGATGGTTGTTTCAATTTCCTCATTGCTGATCAGTGTATTTAGATTTTCCGATTGTTTTTTTTTTTTTTTAATTTTATTCTTCTTTATTGATTTTAGAGAAAGAGGAAGGGAGAGGGAGAGAGAAATAAAATCAATGAAAAAGAACATCAATTGACCACCTCCTGCATGCTCCCCACTGGGGATCTGGCCTACAACCTGGGCATGTGCCCTGACTGGGAATCAAACTGGCAACCTCTTGGTGCATGGGTCGATGCTCAACCACTGAGCCACACCAGCCGGGCTAGATTTTCCAATTCTTCATGATTCAGTCTAGGAAGGCTGTATGTTTTTAGGGACTTTTTTATTTCTTCTAGGCTATTAAATTTTGTGGCATATAGTTTTTCATATTATTCTAGTATGATCCTTTGCATATCTGTGATGTGTGTGGTAACTTCTCTTTCTGATTTTGTTCATATGGGTCTTTTCTTTTTATTTCCTAGTGAGTCTAACAATGGGTTTGTTAATTTTATTTATCTTTTCAAAGAACCAGCTCTTGGTTGTATTAATTTTTTGTACAGTCTTTTTGTTCCCTATTTCATTCATTTCTGCTCTAATTTTTATTATTTACTTTCTCTGGTGACTTTGGGTTGCTCTTGTTCTTCTTTTTCTAGTTCTTTAAGATGTAATGTTAAGTTGTTTACTTGGGATTTCTCTCATTTCTTGAGATAGGCCTTTTATGATATAAACTTCCTTCTTATTACTTCTTTCACTACATCCCAGAAGTTTTAATATGTTGTATTGTCATTCTCATTTGTCTCTCTATGTCTTTTGGTCTCACCTTTTATTTCTTCTTTGACACAGTCATTTTTGTTTGTAGTATATTTTTTAGTCACCACATATTTGTGAGATTCTTTATTTCCTTCTTGCATTTGATTTCTAATTTCAAGGCATTGTGGCCAGAGAATATGTGTGGTATGATTTCCGTCTTCTTGAATTTGTGGAGGTTAGTTTTGTGACCCAACATATGATCTATTCTTGAGAATGTTCATGTACACTAGAGAATAATGTATATTCTGATCTTCTGGGATGAAAGGCTCTATAGATGTCAATTATGTCCATTTGGTCTAAGGTGTCATCTAAGACAAATATTTCTTTATTGATTTTCTGTTTGGATGGTCTATCTAGAGCTGTCAATGGAGTATTAAGGTCCCCAACTATGATTGTGTTTTTGTCTATTTGTCCCTTTAGTTTGGTCATCAGTTGCTTTCTATATTTTGGTGCCCCAAGATTAGGTGCATATATATTAAGAAGTGTTATGTCTTCCTGATGTGGTGTCCTCTTTATCACTATAAAATGTTTATCTTTGTCTCTCATTACCTTTGTTATTTTGATATCTATTTTTTCAGATATAAGTATGGCCACACCTGCTTTTCTGTGGTGTTATTTGTTTGGAGAACCATTTTCCACCCTTGTACTTTGAATCTACTTTTGCCTTTGTAGTTTAGATGTGTCTCCTGAGGGCAGTATATAGTTGGGTTTTTTTAAATGATTCACTCTGCTACTCTGTGCCTTGTTATTGGTGAATTCAGTCCATTTACATTGAAGAAAATTATTGATGTATGCAGATTTCCTGTAGTTATTTTATCCTGGGTTTTCTGGTAGCTCTGTGCCTCCATTGGTTCTTTTCCTCTGTGTTTCCTTCCATCTGTTGTTTTTGTTTGGTGGTAGTCCACATTTCTTTCCTCTGTTTCTTCTTTTTCTAGCTATGTGTCTCTCTTTTTTTGATTTTTTGGTGGTTACCATTAGGTTTATGAAAAAGAAAGTTGAATATATACAGTAGTTTTTTTTCTTTTGAGTGCACCTGATCTCTATATTCCTATGCAAATTCAGAACTTTATCCCCTTCCCTTTTATGTTTTTGTTGTCACAGTTTATCCCTGTTTATGCTGTAATTTTTTTGGTGATCTTACTCTTAGTGTTGTAACCTTTTGCTTTTTGTTTCAGGTAGACTACCCCCCCTGAGTATTTTCTGAAATGGACGTCTTCTTGTGATAAATTCCCTCAGCTTCTGTATGTCTGGGAAAGTCTTTGTGTCTCCTTCATATTCAAAGGATAACTCTGCTGGATATGTTATTTTTGACTGGTCAGTTTCTCTCTTTTAGTAGTTGAATATTTGGTGCCACTTTTTTCTGGCTTGTAGAGTTTCTGCTGAAAAGTCCAATGATAACCTG